ATTCTGATTCTGGGTAAGAATATACCACACACACACACACACACACACACACACACACACACACACACACACACACACCCACACACCCACACACACACACAAATGCTGGTTGCAAGAGGTGACTAACGGGATCAGGTGGCTGCTGACTTGGTTGATGCATGCCATCCAATCCCAATTGCGCGGATCCAGCCACTAGAAGTTCGATTATTTTGATGATGTCTATTTCACATGATTTTCCACAGTAAAAAACATTTTACACCCTAAAAGGCCGTTACAATTCCTCATAACTTGCTGGAGAAAGTAACTAGTAAAGCTTCCTTCACGCTTAATGCATGACTCATTGGCCTGTATCTTGTTGTCCGTTCAACTGTCATAACTCGGTCAAAATCATGACGATTGTAAACATTCTATGAGTTAGAGAGCACTTGTCGAGCCTTTCACACAAGTTTAACAAACTCCAAAACACAAAATGTTTTCACATTCCACAGAGACTTTAAAAGCTGACAACTCAGATGAGAAATAAAAATTAAAAAAACACCCCTAAAAAGGTCTCCACACAATCTCCATTGCCCACCTCGGAACACGGAGAATGCACAGCTGCCACACGAAGACACCGACACCGACGTAATCTTTGTTTGCTCAGGTCAAAGGTCAGGGTTCAAGTTGATGAAGCTACCAAGCCATACCGCCGTTTCTCGAGTGAAATGTGAAACGTGTATTTTTGACTCCTATTTTCGTCACTGCACGGTCGAGTAAGTCCATTCATAGCGTGAGAAACCCCAATATATGCCGCATAGATCCTATACGGCAGCAGTTAGGGTAATTCCATATTGAAAAGGCTTTGTGTAAGTTTGTATACGGTGCATGCCGATATTTACAACACCATGTTCGCATGCGTAAGTTTGTACTGGTTTTTCTCGTTGAAGGCGACCCGTGAAGATCCGGGGTAGAATAGGTCTTCAGCAACCCATGCTTGCCGTTATAGGCGACTATGCTTGTCGTAAAAGGCGACTAACAGGTCGGGTGGTCAGGCTCGCTGACTTGGTTGATGCATGTCATCATATCCCAATTGCGTGGGTCGATGCTCATGATATCAGTGACTGGATTGTCTGGTCCAGACTAGATTATTTACAGACCGCCGTCAGATGGCTGGAATATTGCTGAGTGCGGCGTAAAACAACAAGCCAACAAACTAAATCTCGTTGAAGGCGCGTTGAAGATGTGGTAAACACTGTTGTGCCGGTAGGATCAGTGGTAGTTGGTATAGACGTGGTTCAAAACACGTAAACCCACGTTTATCCCGTGCAAACAATACAGGCTCATCCCAGGGGGTTAAGACAGTCGGACTTTTCTAGTCAGTTAATTCCCTTGCCTCGCGAAGATGTCCAGCTACATGATGTTTGTTTGTTTGTTTAATGCTGCACTCAGCAATATTCCAACTAATGGACGGCGGTCTGTAAATAATCGAGTCTGGACCAGGCAGTCCAGTGATTGACATCATGAGCACCGATCCACGAAATGGGGATACGATGACATGCATCAACCAAGTCAGCGAACCTGACCATCCGATCCCGTTAGTCGCCTCTTGCGACAAGCGTGAGTTGCTAAACTTTACAGATCTCCAGCTGTGTGAAGGCGTCGTATATATAACCGAGTCTAGACCAGACAAACCGGTGGTTGATAGCATGAGCAACAATTCACGTCACCAGGATGACTTGACATGCAATCCACCAGTCACCGCGCCTGACCACCCAATCCAATCATCAGTAAAGAATAGGACTTCATCAACTCAATAATGTGGTAGGAGGAGACTAACGGGATCGGGTGGTTGGTTGATGAACGTCATCGATCCCAATTGCGTGGATTGATGCTCATGATATTACTCACTGGATGGTCTGGTCCAGACTCGATTATTTACAGACCGCCGCAGTGTTCGAAATACCTGCCTGCCCGACCGTCCGAGACGGGTTGATTTCAACTCGGGCTGCCAGATTTTCAAATTCCCCTGCCCGACGGTCGGGTTATATTTCATATGTGAAAATATTCTAAATATTTCCCGATGATAAGCATTAATTCACATGTAAAGATGAATGATAAAATGTAACCAAAAAGAAACCCCGTAAGCTTATCCTGAGAAACATATGATTATAGTGGGCAGGCGGGTTTTGGTCAGGGCTGGCTGAAAGTTTCATACCCTGCCGCCGTCATATAGCTGGAATATTGCTGAGTGCGGCGTCAAACAACAAACCAACCAACCAACCCTGTCTGACTATTTACAGACAGACGTTACAGACCTTGAATATTGTTGACCGCATCAATGACATCCCCGTATCTTATTCGAACACGTGTTTGCTGGAGAAAGTTTTATAAGTAACCGATTGTGCATCCTATTTAATACTGTCGCTAACTGAAATGCTCCGATTTACTCCAACCGTGAAGGGAAATATTCTATCATAGGAAGAAATGTATGGGTGAGTCACGCCTAAGTCTGTATCCATATCATCCCATGTTGAAGAGAGCCGACAGATGTGACACAGTTGTAACAACTAAGCGGTAAATTTGTGAACAGCTGTGGGTAATTGACAGAATGAACTCACGTGACAATTTGAAGGGCAGAGGGCTATTGTCCAATGAGCTATCGTTGTTTGATCACGTGTAGCAAATGCGTGTCACGATCATCATAGGATTGCGTGCTGCACGTGTATTCCATGCATAACGTGGAATTTGCCTCAGTGAACCGTAGATTATCATGATGTTAAGTCCTGTCGCACGTATTTTACATGAAATATATCAATGTGTCTGGGGTGTGATATGTACTAGACATCAGATTCTAGGGTCAGCTGAGGTGAAATGTGAAATGGGGTTTAACGTTTGGCGTCCAAGATTATTGCACTTGTAGCGACGTGTGCGTGTGTGCGTGTGTGTGTGTGTGTGTGCGTGTGTGTGTGTGTGGCTGCTTGTACTAGTCCAGACTGATGCCGATTTTATAGTAGTAGCCCACTGAGGTACCACAGTTTAACATGAATGTCCCACTCAGACACAGAATACTGACTCCGAGCCGACCAGTCCTTGTTTTAGCCCCTAATGCCGAGCGCCAGTCAGGGTAACAACAAGTAGCATCTTATAACGTCTTTTGGTATGAAGCGGTCGGGGATCGAACCCCGGACCTTCGGCTCGCCGGGAAGTCGCCTATAACGGCAAGCATGGGTTGCTGAAGACCTATTCTACCCCAGATCTTCACGGGTCTCTAAAAATCCTATGGTAGGAGATATATGATAGCTATACGATGCTTACGGTATTATCCCCCTGGTGATACGAATGACACATGTTGGAGAAAGTATTAGCGTTGAGTTTTGTTTTAAATCTTTAAAATATTGGCCTGTCAATTAGAGTTGCATGATGATTCCCTGTGATTGACATGCATACGATGTCACATGTTTAGGGTATGACATACTTAGAGTGAGTGAGTGAGTTGGGTTCAACGCCGCTTTTACAGTATTTCAGTTATATCGCGGCGTGTCAGCTTAATGTGGGAGGAAAGCCCGAAGTGATGCAGGTCTCAGACGTTTACCACTTCGGTGAAACCCACGAGCACGGGTATGGTGCTGACAAACCTAGAAACATAATCGGGGCGAACCGGGATTCGAACTCACAATCATAGGTTTCTTGCGTGCCCAAGGGACTCTGCACGGCGAATCGCGGCGCCTTAGACGACTGGGCCACCTTTGCCCCGACATACTTAGTAATGATTAAAGGGGAAGTGTACACGCAAAAATCACTTTCTTTCTTTTTCTAAACAAAACGCAATTTTAGAATGAATTAGTATCTGTGTTTGAAAACATACGCTAATTTTTTTTCACAGTGAAAGTAGGAAGCTCACAATAGTGTTAAAATGATATGCCGTTATGAGGCCTTCGTTTTACGAGCGAAATAGGCCTGAGTTATCCCCCTTAGATTATGACGTAATTGGTGCCAATTCAACTGGGTCCCTGTCTATTCTCAACGCAAAAGATATCAAGGACCAGTTTGCGGTAAAACAACATGGTCTACGACACACTCCGGCGCAGTAGTGACTCAGCATAACACAATTCTGGCTGGCATCTGAGATGCTAGAATCACAAAACTGTACCTACACCACGTGAAGCGGCTCTAACAAAGCATGATGACGTCATAATGTTTATCAATTGGCACCAATGACGTCATATTGCAAGGGGCATAAGCCATGGTGTTTTTGTTATGGAAATAGAACACTTGGTAAATGTGAAAAATATAAATCGTTTTAATGCAAAAAATATGTTAATTAAATATGATGTTTTTATATTTTTGTCTATGACACTTCTATGTTAACACTTTTAATGTGGAAAAAGTACAAGAAAAATTGGTTCATTTCCGTGTGAACTTGCCCTTTAACCACAGCAACACCTGCATAACGTATGATGTAGGAAAGACATAAGGTGAACGGATATGACTCGTGAACACGCAATTGGGATACGATGACATGCATCAACCAAGCATGGGTTACTGAAGACAATTCTAACTCAGATCCTCATGGGGTCCAACTACAGTGGAATCTGTTTAAATGGACCAGTGGGTGACCGAATATTTAGTCCGTATGTGACATGCGTTAGTTGCTTAAGGCCTATTCTACCCCGGATCTTCACGGCTCGTTGTGTGATGTACACTTGACTAAATAAATCGATGTTACGACTGAGGATCGATTAATCGGACAACAATTAATATTTTCTACAGAAATTGCTTCCTGTTTGTTAGTTATTGAAATAGATAAATATAATATACTTTTTAATCACTGATTCATACTTTCTCCTGATTTTACAGGTTAAGGTATTTATTATTTTTATTCATCATTTTTTTTTTAAAAATACATTTATTTTTTATTTAATGTTTACATTTTTGTTGGTGATTGCATATTAATTTTTTTTATAGTTGCCCACTGTCCACAACACACCTATTGTTTGATGACCGCATTGTTTTAGTTTGCCATGACGAGGCCTACCCTTCAATCTGAGTTTCTTCCGGTTCAGTCCGGATCACAGCGTGCAGCGCGCCTCAATGTCCGTAGCGTGAGATCAAGATCAAGGCTCTCGAGCTACAAGGACGATCAAGGCTCTTGAATAGATAAGCGGCGCCTTCATGATTTTCGTGAGATTTTCGCGAGATAATAATAATAGGGGTTGGCTGAAGTTGATAGTTTCAATACATATTTTATGAACGATTCATAGGACTAGCCTCTTTACACCAACCGCATTCTAATCTAGACATTTGCTTTCTCCCCGTTAAAGGAGTGAATTTTTTGTTTCTGTTTTGTTATTCTTTTCACATAGTCCCCAATCCATGTTTTATACTCACCCGCATTGTATTTGTATTACAAGCCTTTATCTGGTCAGTGGAACTAGTTACGCGGAGGCACATGCAACATGTTCTGTACTAGTCTAAAACCGCCCATAATGTCCCTTAGAGGAACACTGAGTTAGTGAATGGCCAACCAATACCCATTTAACTCAGTCCCAACAAAGCTGTGTCAAGGACTGACCTCACCCCACTAGGTCCCCTTCCGTACATGTCAAGCCCTAGTCAACCCGCCAACCCTAGTCAACCAGCCAGCCCTTCAGCCCTAGTCAACCCGCCAACCCTAGTCAACCCGCCAACCCTAGTCAACCCGCCAACCCGCCAACCCTAGTCAACCAGCCAGCCCTTGTCAACCAGCCATCCTTAGTCAACCCGCCAGCCATCCTTAGTCAACCCGCCAGCCCTCGTCAACCCGCCAACCCTAGTCAACCAGCCAGCCCTTGTCAACCAGCCATCCTTAGTCAACCCGCCAGCCCTCGTCAACCCGCCAACCCTAGTTAACCCGCCAACCCTAGTCAACCCGCCAACCCTAGTCAACCAGCCAGCCCTTGTCAACCAGCCACCCCTAGTCAACCAACCAGTCCTTCAGCCCTTGTCAACCAGCCAGCCGTAGTCAACCAGCCAGCCCTTGTCAACCAGCCACCCCTAGTCAACCAACCAGTCCTTCAGCCCTTGTCAACCAGCCAGCCTTAGTCAACCAGCCAGCCCTTGTCAACCAGCCACCCCTAGTCAACCAGCCATTCCTAGTCAACCAACCAGTCCTAGTCAACCAGCCATCCCTAGTCAACCAACCAGTCCTAGTCAACCAGCCAGCCCTAGTCAACCAGCCATCCCTAGTCAACCAACCAGTCCTAGTCAACCATCCAGCCCTAGTCAACCAGCAATCCCTAGTCAACCAACCAGTCCTAGTCAACCATCCAGCCCTTGTCAACCAGCAATCCCTAGTCAACCAACCAGTCCTAGTCAACCATCCAGCCCTTGTCAACCAGCCATGCCTAGTCAACCAACCAGTCCCAGCCAACCATCCAGCCCTCGTCAACCAGCCATCCCTAGTCAACCATCAAGCCCTAGTCAACCAGCCAGCCCTAGTCAACTAGCCATCCCTTGTCAACCAACCAGTCCCAGCCAACCATCCAGCCCTCGTCAACCAGCCATCCCTAGTCAACCATCAAGCCCTAGTCAACCAGCCAGCCCTAGTCAACTAGCCATCCCTATTGAAACCAACCAGTCCTAGTCAACCAGCCATCCCTAGTCAACTAGCCAGTCCTAGTCAACTAGCCAGTCCTAGTCAACCAGCCCTTGTCAACCGACCATCCCTAGTCAACCAGCCAGCCCTAGTCAACCAGCCAGTCCTAGTCAACCAGCCATCCCTAGTCAACCAGCCAGCCCTAGTCAACCAGCCAGCCCTAGTCAACCAGCCAGTCCTAGTCAACCAACCAGTCCTAGTCAACCAGCCAGTCCTAGTCAACCAGCCATCCCTAGTCAACCAACCAGTCCTAGTCAACCAACCAGTCCTAGTCAACCAGCCAGTCCTAGTCAACCAGCCATCCCTAGTCAACCAACCAGCCCTAGTCAACCAGCCAGTCCTAGTCAACCAGCCATCCCTAGTCAACCAGCCAGCCCTAGTCAACCAACCAGCCCTAGTCAACCAGCCATCCCTAGTCAACTAGCCAGTCCTAGTCAACCAGCCCTTGTCAACCGACCATCCCTAGTCAACCAGCCAGCCCTTGTCAACCAGCCATCCCTAGTCAACCAGCCAGCCCTAGTCAACCAACCAGCCCTAGTCAACCAGCCATCCCTAGTCAACTAGCCAGTCCTAGTCAACCAGCCAGTCCTAGTCAACCAGCCATCCCTAGTCAACCAGCCAGCCCTAGTCAACCAACCAGCCCTAGTCAACCAGCCATCCCTAGTCAACTAGCCAGTCCTAGTCAACCAGCCCTTGTCAACCGACCATCCCTAGTCAACCAGCCAGCCCTTGTCAACCAGCCATCCCTAGTCAACCAGCCAGCCCTAGTCAACCAACCAGCCCTAGTCAACCAGCCATCCCTAGTCAACTAGCCAGTCCTAGTCAACCAGCCAGTCCTAGTCAACCAGCCATCCCTAGTCAACCAGCCAGCCCTAGTCAACCAACCAGCCATCCCTAGTCAACCAGCCATCCCTAGTCAACTAGCCAGTCCTAGTCAACCAGCCCTTGTCAACCGACCATCCCTAGTCAACCAGCCAGCCCTAGTCAACCAGCCAGTCCTAGTCAACCAGCCATCCCTAGTCAACCAGCCATCCCTAGTCAACCAGCCAGCCCTAGTCAACCAGCCAGCCCTAGTCAACCAACCAGTCCTAGTCAACCAGCCAGTCCTAGTCAACCAGCCATCCCTAGTCAACCAACCAGCCCTAGTCAACCAGCCAGTCCTAGTCAACCAGCCATCCCTAGTCAACCAGCCAGCCCTAGTCAACCAACCAGCCCTAGTCAACCAGCCATCCCTAGTCAACTAGCCAGTCCTAGTCAACCAGCCCTTGTCAACCGACCATCCCTAGTCAACCAGCCAGCCCTTGTCAACCAGCCATCCCTAGTCAACCAGCCAGCCCTAGTCAACCAACCAGCCCTAGTCAACCAGCCATCCCTAGTCAACTAGCCAGTCCTAGTCAACCAGCCCTTGTCAACCGACCATCCCTAGTCAACCAGCCAGCCCTTGTCAACCAGCCATCCCTAGTCAACTAGCCAGTCCTAGTCAACCAGCCCTTGTCAACCGACCATCCCTAGTCAACCAGCCAGCCCTTGTCAACCAGCCATCCCTAGTCAACCAGCCAGCCCTAGTCAACCAACCAGCCCTAGTCAACCAGCCATCCCTAGTCAACCAGCCAGTCAACCAACCAGCCCTAGTCAACCAACTAGTCAACCAACCCTATCACTGGGCCCTATTCTAACCGGGGTTTCCTACACATGTCAAGCATTATATACTGTGACCTATTGTAACCCAGAAGTCCAAGGAGATTACTTCATGTGTCAAGCACAATACACTGGGACAACCTAGAGATAACCTGTACAGAACAACCATCTCGTGTCGACAGCTTCTACACAGTCGGAACATACATTAGCATATCTCTGACTGATCGGAAACAGACTTTCACATCCGCAACCGTTCGCGGTCTGTAATAACACAGGGGAGGTAACTCCGACGATACAAATATTAGCTCAAACTGTGTTATGGTTGCGCGTCATCTCTGCGCTAGTTCAAAATACCGTATGCCCTCAGGGGTAGGCATTACGTTCTGAAATAAGCGCGCCGGCCCCTAGTATGGGCCGAGTCAGCTACGAGTGATGATTTTGCCAAACATCGTTCAAATACCATACCGTTTACTGACTTAAATCGTCTAGCTACTCGGCCAATCTCAGTTAAATCAGATCTTAGTTTTCGCTACCGCTAAACAAAGATCTAAGGACATCCCATTACGGGTCACGTCAGAACGACCTTTCGCGAACATTGACCGACCAATGAAATGACTGACAAGAAATCGACATTAGCCAATCAGAAGGCATCTTTCTCGAGCTTTACGGCACTAGTTTCAAACTGGCGACTACGCTTCGAAACATATTTTGACGTATTCTCGATTACAAAAGTTAAAACTGACCAAAACATTATTCTGAAATGACTTATAGATGACCTAGACTGTATGAATATAATCATAAAACCCGAACTGTCGTTCGGAATACCCTCTGTTAAATATTTCGAGGTTGCATGATTAGAAAATACATTCCGGATCTGGTAAGCGACGGTCTGATTGGTTGGATGAATGGTCGCTCTGACGTGACCCGCAATGGGATGTCCTCAGATCTTTGTTTAGCGGTAGCGAGAACTAAGATCTGATTTTAATGAGATTGGCTCCTCGGCTGGGCCAACACTGGCATGACTCCATATTGGAAACGACTGTTGCACGAATTGGTGGTATACATTGCTGTAGGAGCTGTATCTGGCGGAACACGGTTTACAGTGAAATCACGTAATAATATTACTCCAGGGCAGACTTTGGGTAAGTAACGGAATTAAGATCGAAGTCAACTTGCCCGGGAGCTGAACCGGCCCCTCTCGTCACATTCAAAATTGAATCAGGACTGGGCCCAATCCCATTAAAATCAGATCTTTTACTCTGATACGACACCGTTTTGCTGCGTCAGGATCTGTGATCTCCATAAGTGAGCGAGTGTGTGAGTGAGTTGGGTAAACGCCGCTTTTAACAGTATTCCAGTTATATCACGGCGTGTCAGCTTAATGTGGGAGGAAAGCCTGAAGTGATGCAGGTCTCAGACGTTAACTACTTCGGTGAAACCCACGAGCACGGGTATGGTACTGACAAACCTAGAAACATAATCGGGGCGAACCGGGATTCGAACCCACAATCATAGGTTTCTGGTGTTCCCAAGGGACGCAACTCTGCACAGCGAATCGCGGCGCCTTAGCCGACTGGGCCACCCATGCCCCCGATCTCCATAAGTGGTCGCGTCAGTTCCTTATCAGCCAATCAGCGTCGATGCTTCTAAATTTCCGATACGAGTGAGAGAAGAATTGAGTCTAGCATTTCTGATATCTGTATCTCGAAAACGAGCTTACACGACCTTTCCACGTTATATTGTTGTGGATACTTTATGGACTTTGTCGTTTCTGAGCGCCATCGTATCCACCTCCTCCGTGTTTTTGTAAATATCAAATTTCCGAAAAAAGGTGGGAAAGACATGAAGCCAAGTCTTTTTACAAAGCTGACATCTGATTGGCTAAAAAAATCATCCTTCATTTTGATTGAGGGTCAAAGGTCGCCCAGGTTCATCGGACGCGACCTTCTATGGAGGTGTCCTCAGCTCTTGACACAGACCGGTATAGCATCGGAGTTTAAAAACTGATTTCATAAGATTGATTTGTGACATGAAGATCCGGGGTAGAATAGGTCTTCAGCAACACATGCTTGTCGTAAAAGGCGAATAACGGGATCGGGTGGTCAAGCTCGCTGACTTAGTTGATGCATTTCATCTATCCAATCGCATGGCTGAATATTGCTTAGTGCGGCGTAAAACATCAAACCAACCAACCAACCAACCAATCTAAATAAAATAGAAATTAGCGCCAGGATATTAGAGTACGTACGGTAACCAAGTGACCATCTATTGCCGTACCAAGAAGTGTTTCTCTCATTGTGTTCAGATATATGTTGTTAATGCTTTGATACGGTCATTATCAGGAAAAATATACACTGTGCAAACATTACTCACTTTTCGGGATATCATTTGCATCGAAAATAATTTTTCCGTGTAAGGTACCTATTTTTAGAAAGTTCATTTACCAAATTGAAAGAAGACAAGGAAACAATGTGTTGTGCTCAGGAAACAAGACCCTTGTCTGGTATTTCACCAGGAACCAAAACAGAGTGTCCTTTTGTGTCCTATTGGGAAATATTTTTATGAAATGCCTATGTTGACATATGTTAAAACGGAATTAAAGCTTCCTCCATTTTGGGGCGGGGCCGTTATCAGTGAAATAAAAGTCACTTCTTCGAAACAATTATGTTAGTAATAAATTCAGTAGTTTGAACTACTGGCATTAATTGCATGTTTCTTATCCGGTGTAGAGAAATCCCTGTCATTTGAAGAAATGTTTTGGTCATCAGGCATCTTCGATACTAATCTTATATATTCTTGTTATATTCGTTGCACGTTGACATATCTTCTTACTTCTGTGAGCCTAGTATCATTCCAGACCTCCATTAAATACTGGTGTGAAAAAAATAACACAAAACAACAAAAGGTACTCACATTCTACGGATAATTCCACGGGAGAACTCTGCTTTAGGGGTCCAGTTTTCAGGAAGAACGGCCCTTTGTGTATTTGGCACACGTACATGGAACCGTTATCCTGTTGATCCACAATCCGTTCAAACGTGTAGTTAAATTCTCGTCCATCTACAGTCTTGTTCAAGAGATCAGCCATCAAGGGGACATAAGTCACATCGCCTAAAGTTTTTCTTGCGAGAGTTATCTCCCCTAACGGCCTTCCTCCGACCCCGCTACACATGAATTGCACTGGTGTTTTCTCTGGGAAGGGCCCTGGGTTGCCATTCACGATCTCGATGTTGACATTATCGGGGTTCTCTGAAAAAGTGATTGATATTATGAGCAACGATCCACGCGGTCGGGGTACGGTGACATGCACGTCAACCACGTCAACCACGTCACCTGAACACCCGATGCCTTATTGCACCTTGTATGACCAGCATGGGATGCCGGGGACCCATTCTAAGCCGGAATCAGAGGGCAGAGAACGTTTATAATTCACGGTACGTCTAAAACCGATTTAGTGAAATGTTTTGCAATCAGCAGCGTCTACTTGTGAGCGAGTGAGTGAGTTGGGTTTAACGCCGCTTTTAACAGTTTTCCAGTTATATCACGGCGCGTCAGCTTAATGTGGGAGGAAAGCCCGAAGTGATGCAGGTCTCAGACGTTTACCACTTCGGTGAAACCCACGAGCACGGGTATGGTGCTGACAAACCTAGAAACATAATTGGGGTGAACGCAGCGTCTACTAAGACTAAACACGAATTACTATTACTTCAAAACGCTACTACTGCCGCTGCTACAAAAACAGCGATCTGAAGTGAATTTCTTCGACTGCCACTACATCATCTACTACTACTGCCCCTGTTACCACAACGGCTACTACACCCGTAGGTGAACTACTTCGACTACAGCCAGTGTTAAATCCGCTGATACTGTACCTTTTTGCTGAACATGATTTTAATCATATACAACTTGTCGCTTTATGGGCGAGATACTGCAGATGCGACTCACTCACTCACTCACTCACTCACTCACTACTACGTTCATCTTATATTAAGGGGTGGTAGGGTAGCCTAGTGGTTCAAGCGTCAGCTCGTCATGCCGAAGACCCGGGTTCGATTCCCTATATGGGTTATATGTGTGAAGCCCATTTCTGGTGTCCCCCGCCGTGATATTGTGAAATATTGCTAAAACCACTCACTCATCTTATGAAAGTACTAGGTGAATGTGAATGTGATGTGAATTGGGTTTAACGTCGCGTTGAAGATAATTGCACTTCTATAGCCACATGCCGACTTATGCGTGTGCATTTGTGTGGCTGCTTGTACTAGTCCGGTTTTATCGTACTATCCCACTGAGAAACCAAGTCACAGTTTAACATGGATACCTTTCTCAGACACAGTATACCGACCAGTTCTTGTTTTGACCCTTTAACGTACCAGGCAGGGTAACAATATGTAGCATATTATAACATCTCTTTGTAAAACGCGGCCTGGGTTCGAACCGCGGACCTTCCGCTCTCCATCGCTGTGTACAGCTGCGTCCCTTGGGTGTGCCAGAAACCTATGATCACACGACCTCGGTAAAATCCACGAGCACGAGTATGCTTCTGACAAACCACACGGTACTTGGATCCTTGCTCGCGAAAGGGGCGCAACTCTGCATACTGCATTGCGGCGCCCCAGTAGTTCATGAATGTGATACACTACTCCACTTTTGAAAGGGATTTTTTTTTTATCTTTCCATGATATAGTGTATACAGTAAACTACGTTTATAACGAACACGGTTATAACGAACTGACGGATATAACGAAATATGTTTCGACCCCGTCCATTTGCTGTTTATATGCTGTATATATGCTTATAACGAACTACGGTTATAACGAACTAAAATAAGTGGTCTCTTTGAGTTCGTTATAACCGTAGTTTACTGGTTTGAAATAGAATGACATATCTGATTATCCGTATCAAAGATTGAGTAGTATATACTCTAAATCCCCACTATGTATGTGAACACTGAACGAATTTGTAATTTAATTCAACACGTACCGAGAACGCCTATATGCATGCGCTTCTCTTTGAGGGCATTGTTGACCTTGACAGTGACGACATAATCCCCGTCATCTCCAACAGCAGCTGTCTGCAAGGTCACGAAGAACTTTTCCTCCAGTTGTTGCAGTTTCACGCGTCTGGACCAGTTCCCAAAACGTTGGATCTGGGCCATCGAGCCATTACCAACTTTAATGACGGCCAGCTCCTCTGTTTGCTTCGTGACGTTGATTGTGACGTCGTCGCTTGTCGTGTAGGGCGTGTAAATCACGTCAAATGTGACGCTTTGACCGCTGAAGACCTCGATCAAATGTGGGACGAAAACGTCCAATCCTTTACCTGAAAAAGTGAATTTTAAAATTAAATAATTGCGTGTGTGACATTTTATTGTTACTACCAGACAATGAGTTGAGAAGTGACGTATATAGCAACGTGTGTGCGCGTGCGTGCGCGCGCACGGACTAAATGCCGGTTTATATTGCTAATCCGCTGAGATATCACGCCGCAGTTTACCATGGATCACAGGCATTTTTAGCCATATTTTAGAGACATTCATGCATATTCATCGTCCAAAAGGTTGCATTATCCTCTTAAATACCGGGCAGAACAGAAGTAAGTAACATCTTTCAACGCATGGGAGGACGCGGTTTGTGCTTGAAACCTGACCGGCCAGAGGCTCTATCCACTTCACCAAGGAGGCTAGCCTGGGTCACAAGCACACACACTCAGACAGTTCACATATCTAACATAATGCTCCTCAATAACCTTAGGGTCGTACAATAAGTTGTTTTTTGTGAATTTCATTCTGTTTGCGCCACTATCCACAATATTACACCGATAGGACGGCGGCCTGTAAATAATCGAGCCTGGACCAGACAAACCAATGATTGACATCATGAGCAGCAACCCACACCGTCAGAGTGTGATAACACACTATCAACCAAGTCACCGAGCCTGACCACCAGATCCACTTAGTCGCCTTGTACGACGAGCAGAACTTGCACGGGATCAAGTCTAACCCAGAGTGAGTGAGTGTGGTTTTACGCCGCTTTTAGCAATATTTCAGCAATATCATGGCGGGGGACACCAGAAATGGGCTTCACACATTGTACCCATGTCGGGAATCGAACCCGGGTCTTCGGCGTGATGAGCGAACGCTTTAACCACTAGGCTACCCGACCGCCCCAGACTAACCCGGAATTCCGTCGGGTACAAGCTTAGAACTAGGACTTCTTCCGTTCGTAATCCAAACACGAAACAAAAATCGAATAAGACAAAATAAGGCCAGATATTTTTTTTTGACTTGCATGGTCTATTATGAATCCGCCGAATACAAAAACTTACATGTGAAAAATAATAAACACACAAAGCCGTGGGGTTATTATTCCGCCGACCGAAAATAAGTAAAATGTTAAAAGCACCAACTCACTCATTTACCGTCGCTATCAATATAAAAGCAATGAATTATTGCAAGTACAATAATTAAAACATATTGAAGCACGGCAAGAAGTGAGCATGCCCCATTATACCCCAAATTTCAACTCCAACACATTTTTAAGTTCATACCATGAAAAGGGCAATATGAAAATCCACTTATCGAAACCAAACTTTGTACTGTACCTCTGATATGGGTATGGAAACTGTGCTCCCATTTCAGTGAGTGAGTGTGTGGGTGAGTGAGTATTGTTTTACGCCGCTTTTAGCAATATTCCAGCAATATCACGGCGGGGGACACCAGAAATGGGCTTCACACATTGTACTCATGTCGGGAATCGAACCCGGGTCTTCGGCGTGACGAGCGAACACTTTAACCACTCGGCTACCCGACCGCCCTACTCCCATTTGAAAAGAATCCATTAAGTACTCTACAAGTTATACCTCAAACAAATGTTGAAGTAAAAAAGAAGTTCAAAACATGAAACAAATCATATTTTCTCAGAAAATCCACACTTTGCACTGCACCTTTTCTATAAGTATGGAAACTGTTCGCTAAATTTGAAAAGACTACATGCAGTAGTTTTCAAGTTATAGATCGCAAAAATGTTTGAGTAAACTATTCTGAGCAAATGAAAAATACCTGATCTTTTTAAGAAATTCCAAATATTAAAATCAAACTTTGCACTGCACTTCCCCTATTGGTATAGAAGTGTTCACCAACTTTGAAAGGAATCTATGTAGTTTTCAAATTATAGTTGAAGTAGTTTTCAAATTATAGAGTTGCACACAAAAATTCCTCGGATGGACAGAATTCCTTGGTATAACTATATACTCCCGCCATTGTAGGTATAACGATCCGTGTCTATGACGTAAGGGAGGCAACTCTATATTTGTTCCTTTCCCTTTTCATCCTGTCCTCACTTTTTCCTGACCACATTCAGAGGAAATAAAACATGTGAAATTACATTTTTTATTGTTTCGACGTGGCCCCCAAATACGTTATCCCCAAAATAAAGAAATCTGGGTTTATTTGATTAAAAACCTCTAAAGCATATTTAAGATACCAGTATTTGATAATAATGTAAATGAAATCATGTTTCAAAATACGTGGATATGTGTCGTCGGACATCAACGTGGATGTTCAGTATGTTTGTTTGTTGATTAACACCACTATCAGCAATATTCCAGCAGCCTGTAAATAATCTAGTCTGGACCAGACAATCCAGTGATTGACATCATGAGCATCGATCCACGCAATTGGGATACGATGACATGCATCAACCATGTCAGCGATCCTGGCCACCCGATCCCGTTTGTCGCCTCTTATGGCAAGCATGGGTTGCTGAAGACCTATTCTACCCGGAATCTTCACGGATCTGTTCAGTATAAACCAGTATGTAATACTAGGAACATACACAGTGATATTGAGGGGCGGTCGGATAGCCTAGTGGTTTAAGCGTTTGGTCGTCACGCCGAAGACCCGGGTTCGATTCCCCACATGGGTACAATGTGTGAAGCCCTTTTCTGGTGTCCCCCGCCGTGATATTGCTGGAATATTGCTAAAAGTGGCGTAAAACCATACTCACTCACTCACAGCAGATGTTAGAAAATAGCTGTAAGTCATTGTAGCTCACCAGGTGCAAGCGACCGTCATATAGCTGGAATATTGCTGGGTGTGGCGTTAAACAACAAACAAACAAAAAGGTACAGTCAAAGTTAGATGAAAACTCCATACAGTGAGATCTTGAACTATCGAGTGAGGAAAGTGACCACTTTGGGGCCAGGAGAAGATCAGGCCCCAAGCACTGTATTGTATGGCGTGTGATGGGTTAAACTAGATCGGGTGGTCAAGCTTTGTGATAGGGAACGTATTTCGATCAAATACTCGTTCATTACTGATTGTTGTTGTTGCCACAGTCCGGAATATCCTGTCTGACCACCTAAGTGACTGAGTATAGTTTTACGCCGCTTTTAGCAATATCCTGCACTATCACGACGGGGGACATCAAAAATGGGCTTCACACATTGTCCCCATGTGGGGAATTGAATCACGTCTGCGGCGTGACGAGCGAACGCTTTAACCACTAGGCTACCTACCATACGGCCCCCTAATGCTAAGAGTTCATTTGTATATATATATATATATATCTACGGGTGAAAACTGAGATGTCACTACCACGTGACTGAAGCGAACGGAGGCTCGTGGGTGTCTGACGCACAGCAGTTGCCCGAAGACGAAATCAAACATGCCAATATGGCCGCCCCGTGTGGGGACGACCTGACAGTTATTGATGGGACGCTAACGCTCACCGTGAACGCCCAAGGTAGCAGGGAAGAGGTTGTGTTACAGTAGTCTGTGGAGGATCAAACGTCTCGACGTTAGTGTGATTGATAAGTCATCAATCAGTCATTAAATGAAACCTGCTTTTGGCATTCGGTGAATAGTATTAAATAAACTACCGGGCATAAAGGAAGTTTTCACCGACTTCACTTGACCAAACACCAAAAACAAAGGCATATGTGAGATTTATGATGATTAATTTATAAACAGAAATCATTTTCCATGAATTAGAATGAAAATGCATTGTAATGCCGACATTGCATTCTCCGCAATACACAAAGAAAGAGTCAAGGGGTCCAAATTAAACATTATACAAATCAGAGTTAATTGAAAAAGTGCATGAAGAGTCCATTAATGACACGGTAGTCAGGTAACACGTCATCAATAGCGAGTGTGACCACCCAGGGCATCCATGCACGCCAACACACGCCTCCTCATTGACGTCGTCAGTCGGCGGATAACGTCAACAGGAATCCTGTTTCAGAAGTTCAATAGAGTCTGTTCAAGTTCCTGTCGGTTCGCTGGAGGCGGTACATGTTGTCTCAGCTGACGATCAAGATGATCCCAGAGATGTTCAATGGGATTCATGTCTGGAGAACAAGGTGGCCAGGGCAATACGTTGACGTTAACGTTGTTCAGGTAGTCTTGAACAACTCGGGCGGTGTGAGGCCTTGCGTTGTCTTGTTGCAAAATTAATCCTCTTTGCTGATGTTGAATAAAGGGCACCACAACAGGTCTCAACACTTCATCCCTGTATCGCTGAGCATTCAGGTTTCCTCGGATGATAACCAGCCGTGTTGTAATCTGGCAACAAATGCCACCCAATACCATGACCCCTCCACCTCCAAACGGGTGAACTTCTCTAATGCAGTTTGGCGCCAGTCGCTCTCCCCTTCGTCGAAAAACTCGAACTCTGCCATCGTTCCTGAACAGACAGAACAGGCTTTCATCTGTAAAGAGCACTCTCGCCCAGTCACGTCGCTGCCACCGACGTACAGTTCGTGCCCATTGCAGTCTGCGTTGACGGTGTAGACGGGTCAAGGCCATTCCCCGGTAAGGTCGGTAGGCTCGTATACCAGCCGTTCGAAGTCGTCGAAGGACTGTTCGTCTGCTGATGGCATGCCAAAGTGCTGTTGTCGACGTCACACATCTGTTTCGGAGGTGAATCTGCCTGATGTAGCGGTCTTCGTCCTGTGTTGTCACTCTCGGTCTTCCCGATCTTGGCCGGTCTTGAGTCTGTCCTGTCTGTTGGTAGCGGATTATCAACTTGCTGATGGTGGTCTGGGAGCAGTTGATGGTTCTGGCTATCTGACGTTGAGTAGCCCCCATTTTGGCCATACCGATCGCTCTGTCTCGTTGCGCTTGTGTAAGTCTGGGCACTTTATTGGTGGTTTTTCGCTTACTGAATGACTGCTCTGTCCAACGTCGGTATTTATGCCACAATCTCGCACGTGGATTTGGACCAATGTATCAAAATCACGTTTTGCGCGTTTTCATGATTCGGAAAGCTGCGTTCGAAAATCTGCGTTGTGGTTGTGGTCATGTTGCATTTGGGCGAATG